CTCCATCTACCTCCATGTCCTCTCTAACTGCATCCATATGTCTCATCTTTATCTTTTTCCTGGCAGCTGCATTTCTAACATCCTTCTACCAATACACCCACTGTCCCTCCTCTGGACATGTCCAAACCATTGTCCCTCCTCTGGACATGTCCAAACCACTGTCCCTCCTCTGGACATGTCCAAACCACTGTCCCTCCTCTGGACATGTCCAAACCATCTCAGTGTGTCCTCTCTAACTTCCTCTCCCAGTTGTTCAACCTGTGCTGTACGTCTGATGATCTCATTCCTGATCTTCTCCATCCTTGTCTCTCCTAAGGAGAACCTCAACATCTTCATTTCTGACACTTCCAGTTCTGTCTCTTGTCTTTTTGTCCATGTCTGTCTCCAGACCACACTCAGGCATGGGCAAACCCTGGCCCGCGGGCCGTTTACGGGCCGTTGGGCTTTTTAATTGGCCCGCCAAAATTGGCCAAAATTTGGACAATAAAAACAAAAAAAACTAGAGGTGCACCGATTACAGTTTTCTGGCCGATCACTGATTTCTAAAAAGTCTGAGCTGTCGATTCTGATTTTTGTCGATACCGATTTTGTTTTCTAAGCGACACTGTCAGGAGTTATAAGGTCACAATGCACCTTCAATTTTTCAATATTATTTTATTGAAAACCATACCATTGAACAATATCCTAGAAACAATACAATGTTTTAACTGGCCATGAGGTAGTGCTTTGAAATATAAATGAAGTTCAGACAATTGTTGTTGAAACTAAAAAAAATCTATAAAATCGGTTTCTCATACAAGTATTGGCCGATTTTCTATTTCCCAAAATTAAAGAAATCGGTGCTAAAAAAAACTTTTTATTTTTTTTACTTTATTTTTCAGGGGTGCCGAGTTAAATTTTAGGGGTGCTTAAGCACCCTAAAAAGAGGTTAAAATCACCACTGGTCTAAATTATATTTAAAAACTGCATTTAGGGGAAAAAGAACTGGTGTAGTTTTATCTGTAGTTCCCACATTTCCCCAGAAGAGGCGCACTACAGACACTGGCGTGTATTAGAGGCAAAATAACAGTAGAGAAGAAGTAATTTCTTCTTCTTCACGCTGATTTACACTTTGCCCTACGAACTCGTCTGTAAAAACGAGTTTATCAAAGAAAGAAAAGTGTAGAGTGAGTGCCGAGTGTTTAATATGGAGTGGACAACAACATATATCCACATCCAAGATGGCGCCGGTGTGTAAGGCTGCCCGTCTCTCGCTCTCTGCTTGTATTTTATTTTTGTTATTTTTACAATGGTTTGTGCAGTGTGCCGAGTCATATTTTCAGTATGATCGTTGGGCACTTTTGGAGCTCCGTACTTTTGCTGAAATTCCCGCGGAGTTTTTGAACAGCGGCCAGCACTCTCCCCCACCGGTCCTATCTGAGATTCCTGCGTTCCTTCTGCGTGACCCTGGCCTTTCTCCATGGAGGAAACGTCGCAGACGTCGTGGGAAGCGTGCAGGGATTTTGGTGAAACTGAGGCAAAGAGTGGATTATTCTTTCAGGACTCGCTCTGGATCTGATCATCTCCTCTCTGACCCGTGGTGCTCCCGGGGCCCGGCTGCTGGCCAGCTGCCCGCGCGCTCAGTCCATGGAAACACCTGGAGTTGTTTACCTGTGCGCCGCACCAGCAGACCAGGAGGAGCCGTTCTTCATAACCTGCGCCCGCTGGCGCGCGCGTCTCCCTCCACGGCTGTGCCTGTGTCGGACAATATCAGGATGTGTTTAATCAACGCAAGGTCTGTTTCCAACAAGACGTTTATCCTCAATGACTTTTTTAAAGATGAGGAGTTGGATTTTCTGTTCGTCACGGAATCTTGGATTTCTGATGGTGAGTCCAGCACCTTGGTGGAACTACTTCCTCCGGACTGTTTATGTTTCAATGCCCCGCGGCCATCAGGTCGGCGCGGGGGGGGATTATTAACAGTTTTTTAAAGCAAACTTGGCCTGTAAACAGTTGTCCATCCCGGTGTCCCGCGCCAGCTTCGAGCTGAGCGCCTTTGAACTTGGACACTCTCCTCCGGTCCTGTGTGCGCTCATCTACCGCCCACCTCGTTCTAAGGACTTCATAAATGAATTCTCTGACTTTTTGGCTGATATCACTCAGAGATACACTCACTTTTTGCTTATTGGTGACTTTAATTTGCATGTGTGTTGTCAGGAGAAGCCCTTAGTGAAGGACTTTCTGGATTTATTGGACTCTTTTGGCTTAGCTCAGCAGGTGAGCGGCCCCACCCAGGAACATGGTCACACGCTGGACCTCGATTTAACACGCGATGTCTCTGTTTCTAATTTGAAAATCGGTGACAATG